GGCTGTTCTGGATCGGGATCGCATTGCGGAGCTACAAAGGCATGCTGCCAAGCAAGATGATGAGCTCAGCCAGACCGATGTTAGGCGTATGTGGGCTGCGGTCCGCACAGTGGTGCCTGGCATGAGGAAGACTGCAAGAGGCTCCCCGATTGCTTTTGATAAGGTCGCAGAAGAATGCCGGTCCCATTTTGCTGCCATCGAGGATGGCGAGGAGATCGAACTTGACATCATGGCGGACTTAGCTCGGGATAGCAACGACTGGGCTCAACTCATGGTTGCGGGGCAGCCCATGGAACTGCTGGCCATGCCGACCATCTTTGACCTCGAGAAGTCCATCCGGCGTATCCAATGCGGCAAAGCTTACGACCTTAGCAACATGCCGCCCGAGCTGGCCAAGGCTGAGCCCAGATTGTTTGCGGCCATCATTTGGCCGCTTTTCTTGAAGTCGTGGGTTTGGCTTTCAGATACGCTCGCCACCAAAGGAGGGCGGGTGATGCCACTCTACAAGGGCTCCGGACCGATGGATCAGGTTGGCAGCTTCCGTAGTATCTGCGTCACCTCTGTGGTCACCCGTTGCTGCCAGGCAGTCTTGAGGGAGAAGATCATGAAAGGGATACGCCCCCATCTTTCTGAGCTGCAGATTGGGGGTTTGCCCGGCATGGGGACCGACTATGCGACGCAAGCCTTGAGGGCCCAGATCGCCATTGCCTCGGCCAAGAAGCTCTCCTATGCGGTGATCTTTGTGGACCTCGCCCAGGCCTTCTACACCACCAGCAGGATGGCTTTCTGCGGTGACCCCCTGGACCAGTTCACGGAGGACGACTGGGATGCTGTCCCCTTGGCCGAACTTGGCAGCCATCCTGCGATGGCACAGTTCGGGTTGGCTAAGGATGTTCAGCTCGCTGCTCAGCAAGCTCTCCACAACTCGTGGTTCTATGTACAGCGCAAAGGTCAAGCGCCCGACCGCACTGTTGTTCGCAGTAGGAGAGGGACCCGGCCGGGGACCCCTGCTGCCGACATTGCGTTCACAACGGTCATGGCTAAAGTACTTTGCTACCTCAACCACGACTTGAGTAGTCTGCTGGCTACCCCACACCACCCCACAGTGCCGCCGGTGGTATGGATGGATGACCTGGCCATAGTAGTGCAGTGCAAAGATGCTCGGGAGTTAATCGGCAAAGTGTCACGCACCATGGCAATTGTACACCGCCGGATGCGTGAGCATGGATGGAGCATCAACTACAAGCGGGGGAAGACCGAAGCGATCATGCGCATGGTGGGAGTTGGTGCGGGCAAGATGAGACGGCACTTGCACATCGAGGAGCTGGACCAGCTGCAGCTACATGAAGAACAGATCCTTCTTCATGTGACTTCTCGATACAAACATCTTGGCACCTTCATAGAAGCCAGAGGTACGATGGAGGCTGAGATTAGACATCGGCTTGCTCAAGCAGCTTCTTCCTGGCGCAGTGCTTCCGGGAAGCTTTTCTGTAACCTCAGGGTGCCTGAACAGACACGCATGCAACTACTTCGTTCCTTGGTGTTCTCCAAGCTCCTTTACAATTGTGAGACGTGGCCTACTTTGGCACCTGCCATGATGAAGAAGTTGAACGCCTTCACCATGCGTTGCTATAGGGGAGTTGCTGGGATGCAGCATTTCCAGGACCAAGGGGCGCGTGTGAGTGACCAGGGGGTTTTGAGGCATCTCATGGCGCCCGACGTCCAGACTTTGATTCGGGCGGCTAGGCTTCGTTACTTCAGGAGAGTCTATAAAAGTGCGCCCCAATTAGTTCTGGACCTTTTGATCAAGGAAGATGAGGCGGTGGCGCAAAGTTGGTTTGAGGCACTTCGTGAGGACCTTCGATGGCTTCGAGGTTGGTTTGAGCCGGAGTTCGCTGCCATGCCCGAGCCATCTTGCGATCTGCTTCCGTGGATCAATTATGCCGGTAGTCTTCACAGGTGGAGTCGTGTCAGAGCTGTTCAGAAGACCTGGCAACGGGTACATGGACCTTATCGAGTGGGAGGAGTCCTACATTGTAGTTACATGCAGGACTTGCAAGCTGCTGAGCTGGCTAAGGAACAAGTTCAGGAGGCTCATCGGCGCCCTCTGTGGAAGTGCAAGGATTGTCCAAAGAGCTTTCTTTCCAGCTGGCAGTTACGTTTGCACTGCTGCCGCAATCATGGCCAGTTCTCTTGGATGAGGCGTTTCATGCACAATGGAGGTGTTTGTTGCGCCTGCCTTCGTGACTAATTACCATGATCGAAACAGGTTGCGTCAGCACCTGACTTACCATACGGGGACTTGTTTCAACTGGTTGCAGGCCAACATGCACCCGATGTCAGATCAGCAGGTCAAAGAAGATGAAGTTGCAGAGTTTCGGTTGCGTGACCGACCTCATCGCATGCCATGGGTGAGACGTGCGGGACCTTTGCTTCCTGATCGTGCTCTTCGAGAAGTTTCAGCTGAAGCAGAAGGAGTCGTGCTGGACCTCCCCGACTTGGCGGGCTTGGTTGATGATAGCCAGCTTCCTGCTGATCCTGCTCAAGGGCATCCTGCAGATCTTGGATGCGGTTCTGATCAGGCAGTTCATGCGGTTGGGCGGCCTGATGGCATGGGGTGTGGCTCGGAGCCGGCTACCCTTTTCGTGGAGGGAGGGCTTCCTGCACGTGATGCAGTTCCTCATCTCCGGGCAGATCTCGCTGGAGGGCATCTTGCTGGTCCTGATCCTCATGCTGGAGGGCATCCTCGTGCAGTCGCTGGCGGTGCTCAAGATCGTGAAGGGCCTGATCCTGCGGGTAATGGCCCGTGCAGAATGTCCGGGGGCAACCGCTTTGTGCTCTACCTGTACTCGGGCAGGCGACGGCCGGGTGACTTTACTCATTGGGCAGAGCAATTGACCAGCTCTTGCGAGCAAGGGTTGGTCTACTGGGTCATCACCCTGGACGTGGTGTACGGTGCTGACTTGGATTTGCTTAATCCTGATGTACAGAAGCTCTGGAGGCATCATATGCTCCAGGGAAGAATCGCTGGCTTCATGGTTGCACCGCCGTGCGAGTCGTGGTCCAGAGCCAGATGGAGAGCCGTCATGGACCCAGAAGACCGAGGTCCCAAGCCAGTTCGAGATTCTGCTCGGCCTTGGGGTCTTTGGCACATTAGTGTGCGCCAGCACCACCAAGTGCGCACGGCGAACCTCCTGCTCCAGGTGGCCCTCTCCTTCTTGGTGGTGGCCCTTCGGGTTGGAGCTGTGGGGGTGCTTGAGCACCCGGCTGAACCGTCAGAGAGCTACATGCCGACGATCTGGCGCCTCTGGCATGTTCGGATCTTGGCCTCGGCTAGGCAAGCCAATCGGGTCCTGGTGCGACAACACGATTTTGGCGGGGTGTCTGCGAAGCCGACGCACTTTCTGGTCATCAACGGCTGTGAGGTCGAGAAGGTCTTCAGGGAGGAGCGCATTCCACCTCACCTTCGGCGGCCTATGCAAGTCCTCGTCGGCAAGGATGAGCAGGGCAGATGGAGGACGGCAGCGGCCAAGGAATATCCTTCCGCTTTGAACAAGGCGCTCATGCGCCTCCTCGTCAATGACGAACGGCGCGAGCGCCCTCCCGAGGGGGAGGACGCCGCTTTTGCCGAGTTTGCGCTCGGGCTTAACGCCCGGGCGGCCCGCACGGAAGCCGCCATGGGCCCCGACTTCGCGGGTTGACCGGGCGTGGCTGTGCCCCCGGTGAATTCAGGTTAGCCAGAGCCGTCACGACACGAAGCTTGAGAAAGAAAAGAAGGGGGGGGGTCCCCTGCAAACACCTGGTCCCTCAAGCTACGCTTAAAACACCATATTTTTAGGGCAGAGACCCATCAAGGGGTGTTTTGAGGATGCAGGTACCCAAAAGGGCCCCTGATTTAGACCAAGTCCAGTTTAACAACAAAGATCACCAACAAAAGAGAACCACCAATCAAAAGGAAGGTGAACCCAGGAAGTCGGAGAACCCTCAGGTTCTCTAGCGCTCCCTCTTGTTAGCTCTTGGATCAAAGAACTCCCAACCGGGCGCTTTGGATGAAAGGAAGCGACAACCTTCAAAGTAGCTTTGCGGTTTCCTCGTGCAAGTCACCCGCGAGGATTCCAGTGAAATACTCGATGCGCTTCCCCATTCGTCCTTGAGACCCGAGCTTGGAGATGACCATGACAAACATTACGAGGATCCGGCGAAACCTTTGAAAGCAAATATCTGAAGTTATTCCTCTTCAAACAAAAACTGGGCAGGTCAACAACGACAGCTAAACCAGTTGTCAGAGCGTCTCCACTTTTCGGCCCTGCTCGTGGGCCAAACGTGCCAGTCAAACTCAAACCGGGGGTGCAGCCCAACCAATCACACGGCACCAAATACCTGTTCAGGCTCCTTCAAAACGTGCCATGAATCATTCTGTATGGGGGTGGAATGAAGCAAGCAATGTAATTAGTCACCAACCTAGATTGCCGGGCGGCATAAACAAAAGCACAGTATCCCACTATCGTCTCAAGCAACCAAGAACAGCATCAATCAAGCCATCAAGTAAGTAACCTTTCGCGAAGACGTTGCTTGGACCCCTCTCACACATGAATTCCCGTGCAACCAGCGGATTTGGCAGCCAAATCCATCAGCTCGACATGAATCTAACTCCTGAGTGAAGCACTCATCTAGGTTCGCCTAGCTTCCAAATGAATTTGAATACTTCTACATGAGTCTAACTGTCAAGTTCAAAGTGAAACAACTATATACCCCCTACTCCAAATACCTCGGTTTTTTGTATGTATGCAACATCTTGGGTTTTCCATGGCAAATGTACCCGTTCTCCTTTAGGGTTGACATCATACCCTAAACAAAGCGGCGTAATTGAAGCTTTCGGGGGTACTTCTAAGTGAACAAAACAACTTTTAAACACATCCACACAAGCGACAACTTGCCCCACCAAACCGGGTCCCAGCCAAACCGCCCGGCCGCCCGGCCGCCCGCGTAGAGCTGCGCGCCTCGTCGTGGCAGAGCTGCAAGAGGCACTGCAGCAGCGCCTCGTGGAGATCCGTGGACACCTCCCAGGGACCCGGGAAGCCGAGGCCCTCTTTTGCAAGGCATGCCTTGGATTGGGATTTAGGGAAAGAAGAGATTCTTAGTTCAGATTTTCAAAACTTAGAATTCGGGGAGATTGAATATTTGTTTGGGGGGTATTGATGTGAATACAAAGAAATGTTTGGAAGTTACATGAAGTTATGAAGAAGTCAGGAGAAGTTAGGATGTCCTTGGGGGTTCGAAAGGAGAAGGGATGTGTGCGGCTACGCCACTTTGGGTTATATTGCGAATGGTTGTTCCCTCAGTGGGCTTCAAGGAGCGCCACCATATCCTCTGACCAACAAAAGATATGGGGTTTGGATCGATCGATCTTTGACGTTTCAAAACCCAAGAGATGGGAGGTCCAGCTCCCCCGCCCCTTTTCGGGGGTTCAATTCATTTGCCATGGGCGGTACTCCCCAAGACCCCAAGACACCTTGCAGATCGACCTGTCAACATTGTTTTGTTGGAGTGGGGAGATGTTTGCCCGACCCAAGTTGTCACCTGATCGGGGCGTGATCGTCTTGGGGAAACCCGTCAACCCGCGCCAGTCTGCAATCCAAGCAGGAAATGCAAGCTTCCGGCAAGCGATACCGTCATCAGCAACCTGGTGCTTCCTGTTGCAGAACATGAAAGCCTCTGCATGCCAAGACACTTTCTGGACATATTCATATAGCTCAAACTCAAAGAAAGAACCCCAAGAAAAGAACCTTCGTGGTAAGATCAGCCGCAAACCAAAACATGTGGAGGTCGCATCTGTTTCCGCAAACACTCTGGGTGTCAGCAGTTTGATTTTCAGCGGTTGTTGTCTTCTTCCAAGGCAGCTGGCATTATCCCTAGAGGGCCACTTCTTCGCCAAGAAGGATTTGGTTCGGCATCTGCTTCCTGCCACAACTTGGACCCTACACCCTCCCAGGATATGAAATGCGAGTACGGAAAATTCAAAAAAATGCCTTCATCTTTTTCAGCGTCTCCATCCCTCCCCCCCTCTCGCTCAGCGAGCTGAATTCTGAATTTGCAGAGGAGGGCCCCAACGTCCTCATTCGGCAACAATGTGCGTAGTTAATGCTTTAGGCCTTTGTGTTGAATTGGACATGCTCAGGAATCCTCCTCTGAGGAACCTTTGATCGCTAAGATCGCTCTAGCTTGCCCAGAGCATTTGGGCTTGTCTCAAACTCAAACGCACCATGGCCTCCTGTCGGTTTCACCTTCAAACTCAAATGGATGTGTTTTTGGAGGAATTAACGTTATTTGATGATACCTCTTTTAGGCTGGATTTAATCGGAAACCAAAGCGCAACCCACGATTTCGCGGGGCCCAAATCCTAAAAAAAAACTCACCCAACGGCGCGATGGCTGAAAAGAAGGTACACCCACTTGAGTGTGTCGTTTGTAGGGGACCGCCCAAATTGTGGTTTCCTTCCAGCTTCCCCTTAAAGGCCTCCAAAAACCCGGCTATCAACAAAGCAAGACGTCGACACCTTGACACAACGATGCGCTTCGGGACCCGCCGCAGATTAGGATTTGCCTCCAGGGAATGCATCAGCAACTGCCCGTAGGTTTCAAGGAGGTCCTGTCGAGCCCATGGTTTTACCCTTGCAAAACCACTCTACCTGGACCCTCACACTATTGAAACCCAGCATTATTTACCTTTTTCAGAGTTCGAGGGTCTAGGTGCCCGCTTTTGTCAGTGCGATGCCAGCCCATAAATCGAAAAGGGATCGTTGGAAAACCGTAGATTCTCCAAAACAAATACCAACTAAAGAAAGAGGGCATTTGGACTATGGGCTAGATCTGCAGATTTGCCGAGAGTCAGCCCACTTTCACCTCCAGTTGACCCTGTAGATCGTCGACCCAAGAAGGGCTAAGCAATGCTAAGCATTTAGCGATCACTGATCCAGGGACCTTACGCAATAGCCAGCTCGGGCACGTCTTCAGTGTCTTGTGGATTGTAGTCACTGTACTCCCAAAAGCTGGTGCAAAAGTTTAAAACTACCCATGCGGGTGAGCTGGTGCGATTGGGTTTGGACGCCGATTGAAATGTCTCCGCATAATTGTTGATGACTTGCTCAAAAACCAGCTTGATCATTGAATCCCACTGACTTCTATGGGCTAGGAGGGTCCGTGAAGGAAGAAGGAACGCATCGATTTCTTCACGAAAGCGAAGGCAAATCTCTGGGTGCTCTAGAAGCCGTAAAATGACATCCTCAACCCAAGCTGACACTGTATGGCATGAAGGCTGCTATCTGCACGTGGTGTTCACCTTGCTCGGCTAGCAGAGCACCCTGCTCGGTACCTTGTGTGTGTGGCTCACGGAGTCAGAGTTTCTCCTCGCCCCAAGCCTGAACAGTGATGCTTGTCGAAGAAGAATCTGAAGCAAACAATATGGCACAAAATGGATCGGCTCCTCCATCAAGCCTACGCAGAACGCAATAATTTACGCAAATGATTCACCCTGAAGTAAGGGCACCGCCACCAAGAGAACCTCATTGCACTTGAAGACAAACTAAAATCATGTTTTTCAACATTGGCGATTGCTCTGGTTGGTGATTCTCCGGCTTCCCTACAAAACCATCTGGGCACATGTGGGGGTTGTTCAAAATAAAAGTTCCCGGAAACGGCCCTTTCGCCGGCCTTTCGCGGTCCTTTCGCGGCCCCACGATTTCCTTTCGCGGTGACAAACCAGTCCTGAAAAGCTCGTTTTCGAGCACTTGAGCCACTTGAGACAAAAGCTGTCTCTCGTATTCGCCTCCGTATTCGTTATCTGTCAAGTCCTTTCGCGTTCCTTACGCCGGCCTTTCGCGGCCCCATGTTTTCCTTTTGCGCTAGACCTTCAGAACCTCCCTTACTTAATTTTAAGACTGGCAATTTAGAACGACTCCCATGTGTGTAACATAGCTAAGCCTGAAACAAGGAATCCGCAGGGGATCTGCATCTCCGGCAAGCTAGTACCCCCAAGCTTCTTGCAGCATAAAGAAATTATCCACACCCAGCGGGCATGTAGCGTTAGCCCCTGGTTTCCGAGGCACCCTGGATATCATTGGCTCAACTCTGGGGCTCGAAGGGGTGGGTGTTTTTTTGTCTTCGGACCCCCATGGGCGTCCCTTTTGGTGTCCCTTGAAACACCAGAACGGGGCCAGCAACTCCAAAAAGAGAGACACACCGTCTTCAGAATCGGAGCTTGGGGTTCGGTTTCGGCCCGTTTCGGCCCGTCTCCTGAACCTGAGAATCTGGCACCGCCTCGGCATGCTTTGGCTCTTGGCTTTTGGGAAGTCTTGGGAGAAAACTGGGCCCTGTGTTCAGGAATCCTCCCCGGTTTGACAACTATGTGTTTGGGTGCCAACCACATGTCAGCATGTACAGGCAACCAAGGGAACCAATTGAAATAGCAAAATGAAAATGGTTTGCTTTGTACCAAATGACCTCTGCCCGAGGGTGTCGCCTGAACTGAAGAATTCATTCAACAACCTTCCCCAGACTAGGAAAACAGGCGAATGCAAAGCGCAACGTGTCAGGCGTCATGAGCGCCTCTTTAAGCTCACAACCAATCGCCTGTCAACGGTCCGAACGTTAAAACATACGCAACATACGCACTAATCATAGGCGCCCTGAGTGACCCAATCTAGCAGTTCCACTTGCTGAAGTAAACCAAATTTGCAATGGTTCCCCTTGAGAAATCACCCTGCCACCAAAAAAAACGACTCAAATTGAAATTGGCAACTTAAGGATGATGCTAAGACTTGCAAGTCTGGGAGGGCAAATAGTGCGAACCCTGCGTACTGGCTCGTTGGAACCTTTTGAAGATCCTTGACCTTTCGGACTTTCGGACTAATGACTCACGGGAAACCAACAGGTCGCTTTCCGGTCGATGTGTTCTGGCTGAGCAAACAGCAGGTTCAAAGACTTCTCCTTTGGTCAAAATGAAACTCACATCCCAGGGCCATGCTGGTACCTCTGCTTAGCACGGAGAAAAAAACAGGGGGAAACAAAAACGGCATCATTGGTAGAGCAACTCTTTCGATTCCATGTGGCTTCGGGCAGGAGAAGTACAGAAACCAAAGATCCACATCCCCGGTCCGCTGAGGCGCTGAGGCATAGGCATCCCCGCCCGCTTGACCTGAAGAATCCGCGCAGGACCAATTGGCCTCCCTGTGAAACAACACAGCAAAACGGGTCCCTCAGAAAAGAAACATTGGGTTCAATCACTGCGACATGAACTACTTTACCGCCCTAAGAACTGCGCAGAAAACGACTCATGTGGGTTGTTGATCCCATAGATATAAGGGTGTGTGTTCAACTGGGATACATCATCAATCCCTCCAAACTCTAAAAACAAAAAGTGCAAAGGGCACTACAGTACGGCTAGCGCTTCGGTTCCAGAATTGGTGGCTACGCACATACTAGTTGACCCTGCGCACGTTCATTTTGAAAGAGGCGTCTGTTGAAATCTGCGCGGCTTTCCTCGAGCTTTCGCACTTCCTAATCCGCAGGTGCTTGAGTTTTCCAGTTCCAAACCTGCGGGTGGTCAAATTCCGAGTTTTTCCAGTTCCTAATCCCCGGGTGTTCGAATTCCTCGAGTTTTTCCAGTTCCTAATCGCTGTCCCAGTTCCTTTCCAGTTCCTTTCCAGTTCCTTTTCCAGTTCCTTTTCCAGTTCCTAATTAGGATTTGCTGTGTTTTCTCAGTCATCCCAAGTTGCTTAAAATAAAAAAGAAACAAATACTTTTCTTTTTCTTTAAATGAAATCATGATCAAGCAGCAATTGCTGAGAAAACACAACAAATCCTAATTAGGAACTGGAAAAGGAACTGGAAAAGGAACTGGAAAGGACTGGAAAGGAACTGGGACAGCAATTAGGAACTGGAAAAACTCGAGTAATTTGAACAACCGGGGATTAGGAACTGGGCAAGATGAAAGTATGTCTTCTTCTAGAAACATCTGCTTGTCTTTCGTGCAAAGCCATCTGCCGCGCAATGTCCTCACTTCACTCTCAGAAAAATATGCTTGTCTCTCGCGTTTCTCCATTGCTTTTGTCTTAGCAAGTTGAAAGAATGTCTTCTAGTCAGTTGCATTGCGCAAATCCGTGCGTGCGCCATGTCGCTCTCGGCAACCGTCTGCTGCGCAATGTCCACGTGCATGAAGTTTGTGAAAAGATAGCGTCTGCTGATGCACGCGTAAGACACTTTGCTTCATCTTTCTAGGAGAAGACGTACTTTCATCTTGCCAAGACCAAAAACAATGAAAAACTACCTGTCCAGACAGTACGGCTAGCGCTTCGGTTCCAGAATTGGTGGGTACGCACATACTAGTTGACCCTGCGCACGTTCATTTTGAAAGAGGCGTCTGTTGAAATCTGCGCGGCTTTCCTCGAGCTTTTGCACTTCCTAATCCGCAGGTGCTTGAGTGTTCCAGTTCCAAACCTGCGGGTGGTCAAATTCCGAGCTTTTCCAGTTCCTAATCCCCGGGTGTTCGAATTCCTCGAGTTTTTCCAGTTCCTAATCGCTGTCCCAGTTCCTTTCCAGTTCCTTTTCCAGTTCCTTTTCCAGTTCCTAATTAGGATTTGTTGTGTTTTCTCAGCAATTGCTGCTTGATCATGATTTCATTCAAAGAAAAAGAAAAATATTTGTTTCTTTTCTATTTTAAGCAACTTGGGATGGCTGAGAAAACACAGCAAATCCTAATTAGGAACTGGGAAAGGAACTGGAAAAGGAACTGGAAAGGAACTGGAAAGGAACTGGAAAGGAACTGGGACAGCAATTAGGAACTGGAAAAACTCCAGTAATTTGAACAACCGGGGATTAGGAACTGGGCAAGATGAAAGTATGTCTTCTTCTAGAAACATCTGCTTGTCTTTCGTGCAAAGCCGTCTGCCGCGCAATGTCCTCACTTCACTCTCAGAAACATATGCTTGTCTTTCGCGTTTCTCCATTGCTTTTGTCTTAGCAAGTTAAAAGAAAGTCTTCTAGTCAGTTGCATTGCGCAAATCCGTGCGTGCGCCATGTCGCTCTCGGCAACCGTCTGCTGCGCAATGTCCACGTGCATGAAGTTCGTGAAAAGATAGCGTCTGCTGATGCACGCGTAAGACAATTACCTGCAGCTTCAAACGACTAGAAAAAAGTAGGTGTTTTGGTCATTGTTTTGCCTGTTTCGTATCGTTTTTACCGCAAAACGACTAAGACGCCTAGAAATTTGAATCATTGGGTGTTTCCTTCTTGCACAGGGCTTTCTCTCTCATTCAGCTTGATATTGCCCACTACACCAGATGTTCGAATCTTCAGAAACTTCTAAACACTTCGAATCCTTCCCTCCATCAACACCCTCAATCCTAGCTGTGCGGGGGAGTGGTGCGCAAATCGGAGCAAGTTTAGTCTAAACATGCTTCGAGTGAGAAACGCACTTTGTTCGTACCGCTTTTGGCCGCAAAACGAGCGCAAAAACCCGCCAAAAACCCGCAAACGAGCGCAAATCCCAAACAGTGGGTCAATTGGGGTTGTTTCATGCACTGCCCGCTCAAAAGCATGCCCTGATTGGGCACCGATGTAGGGTCATGCTTGCAACGGGAAATGCAAGCACCGAGAAAGGAAGCTATATTGATATGAGGTCAGATCTTGTTGGCTCAAATATCCTCCCAAACGGCCAGCAGCACGTTAGACGCCGGCCTTCGTACTAGTTTTCCAACGGCTCGTACTAGAACCCCCAGTTTTCCTCCAATCGTACACATGACCCAAAACGCCCAGAAATTTCTGGGTGTTTGAATCTCCAGGTAGCTTCATCTTTCTAGGAGAAGACATACTTTCATCTTGCCAAGACCAAAAACAATGAAAAACTACCTGTCCAGACAGTACGGCTAGCGCTTCGGTTCCAGAATTGGTGGCTACGCACATACTAGTTGACCCTGCGCACGTTCATTTTGAAAGAGGCGTCTGTTGAAATCTGCGCGGCTTTCCTCGAGCTTTTGCACTTCCTAATCCGCAGGTGCTTGAGTTTTCCAGTTCCAAACCTGCGGGTGGTCAAATTCCGAGTTTTTCCAGTTCCTAATCCCCGGGTGTTCGAATTCCCCGAGTTTTTCCAGTTCCTAATCGCTGTCCCAGTTCCTTTCCAGTTCCTTTTCCAGTTCCTTTTCCAGTTCCTAATTAGGATTTGCTGTGTTTTCTCAGTCATCCCAAGTTGCTTAAAATAAAAAAAATTACACCAGCAGAGACCCCAAACAGTTGAGGGCTGACGGGCGAGCACAAACATGCCAACAGCTTGTGGCTTTCTGAGCTTCAACACGGATGAATCAAAATGATGCAGTCGTGAACCTGGCGCGCGTTGCGTTGCTGCTGCTGGCGTGCTTCGCGCTTCAGCACCGCGCCAGAACTGAGGTTGGGCAAGCGCGCGCGATGGCGGGCAAGTGTGGCCGCGCAAGCACGCAGTCACATGGGCAGTTCAAACACACATGTCCAATTCAGACACACATGTGTGTACACGTGGAACACACATACGTATACGACTGAAACAGTATACATTCACCTGCGGCACACGCATAAATGTGTTGAGCTGGAAAACAAACATGTGCTTCTTGGAAAGCACACACACACATGTGCAAACGTGGAACGCACATATGTGTTCACTTACGACACGCTAATGCGTTCACGTGGAACACACATGTGTGTTCACTTGGAACACAATGAAACGCGTGTCCAATTCAGACACACATGTGTGTACACGTGGAACACACATGCGTTCACCTGGAACACAAAGACGCGCAATTAAAGCACACATGTGTGTACGCGTGGGACACACATATGTATACCACTGGAACACAAACATGTGTCCACCTGGAACACCGCGTGTGCGATTAAAGCACACATGTGTGTACATGTGGAACACACATATGCGCACACGTGAGCAAACATAAATGCTCACCTAAATCGCACACACATGCGCGCACCTCGAAAACAATCATGCGTTTTCTGGAGCGCATACATGTGCACACCTGGAGAGCAAATATGTCGTCAGATGCCAAAAAAAGTTCACCTAGCACATACTAATGTGTTCACGTGAAACACACATCTGTTCACCTGGAACACAAACATCTGGAACACACATGTGCGTACACTGGAACACACATATGTGCACACGTGAACACGCATATGTGCACACGTGAACACTCACATATATGTGCACCCGGAACACACACCCGTGTGCTCATCTGATAACAACCATGTGTTCTCCTGGAACACAAACACGTGTCCAATTGGAACACGCATGTGTGCACACGTGAACACACATATGTGTACACGTGGGAGACGCAAATGCGCACACGTGAACACACACACACATGTGCACACGTGGAACACACACATGTGTACTGCACATGTGAACACACACATTTATGCGCGCGCGGAAAACACAGACACACACGAGTGTTCATCTGATAACAAACACGTGGTCTCCTGGAACACAACCGTGTGTCTAATTGGAACACAACGTGTGTACACGTGAACACACATATGTGTACACGTGAACACACACATATTTATATATATATATGCGCACCCGGAACACACACACACACGTGCGTTCATCTGAAAACAAACATGTATTCACCTGAAACACAAACACGTGTCCAATTGGAACAAACATGTGTGGACACATGAACTCACAAATGTGTACATGTGGAACACACATATGTGTGCAAATGAACACACATACATGCGCACGCGGAGCAGACACACACACACACACACGCGTTCATCTGATAACAAACATGTGTCCTCCTGGAACACAAACACGTGTCCAGTTGGAACGCACATGTGTGCACGCGCGAACACACAATGTGTGCCGTGAACACACATACAAAAAAGTGCACGCGGAGCAGACACACACACACGTGTTCATCTGATAACAAACATGTGTTCTCCTGGAACACAACCGTGTGTCTAATTGGAACACAGACGTGTGTACACGTGAACACACATATGTGTACACGTGAACACACACATATATACGCGCACCCGGAACACACACACATGTGTACTGCACATGTGAACACACACATTTATGCGCGCGCGGAAAACACAGACACACACGAGTGTTCATCTGATAACAAACACGTGTTCTCCTGGAACACAACC